AAAAAAAATAATTTATCTTTTTTTTTTTAAGAGACCATTCTTTTAATATTTTATTTATTATTTTTATGTGTATGCGTGTATTGCCTGCATGTAGGTAGGTGCACCCGTGTTGTGCAATGCTGGCGGGGGACAGAAGAGGCTTTCGGATCCCCTGGAACAGGAGTTAGGGACAGTTGTTAGCTGCCATTTGGGTACTGGGATTTGAGCCCAGGGCTTCTTCAAGAACAACCAGTGTTCTTAACCACTGACCCATCTCTCCAGCCCTTATCTTTTTTATTTTTTAATGCGTATGAGTGTTTTGCCTGTATGTATGTAAGTGTACCCCTGCCGTGCAGTGCCCAGGGAGTTACAAACTGAGTTAATTAGAGTTACAAACGACTGTTAGCCACCATGTGGGTGCTGGGAATCGAACCTTGGCCCTCTGAATGAACAGAAAGTGTTCTTAACCACTGAGTGAGCCATCTCCCCAGCCCCTCAAGATCACATTAATGCTGCACACAGAGTGTTACATCTGGCCTGGCCTGCCCAACTCTCAGTCTGAACTACCCAACCCGGGATCGGCCCTGTCTTGGTGTGACCCCGGGTGTTTGGGGTATCAGCCTTCTTCCCTTCTACATTCGGCTCTCAAATACACGCAGCCTTGCACACAGGAGAGGGAGTGAACACTGCGCTTCTGCAGGCAGTGAGGTCGCTGCTGAAGGCCTAGGGGCGGTGGACAGTGGAAGGGAAGGTGGACAGAGGCAGGGAAGGTGCAAGATGTCTGCCCACAGCCCTGCATATCACATACCTTGCTCTCGCAGGAGCGCTCACCTGCGCTCACCGACTTGGCCTGAGTCAACAGCAGCAGGAAGGAGCGCACCAGGAAGCCAGCAGCGGGCACAGCCACCAGCATGCTGTGCACCAGCTAAGGAGCCACACCGAGGACTGCTGCCTGGCACCGCCTCTCCCCGGCCTGCCATCTACTCCTCTCCACCCTTAGTCCCCTCACCCTACCCAACCATGCTTGTTGTCCCACTTCTCCCTTTCAGGCCTTCATTGCTCCACTCTGTGACCTCACTAGGTAGTTACTGCTCCTTGGTCTCTCTCACTCCTCCCATCTCTGCCCTCACCGGCCTTTACCTGGACCCACACTGATGCTCTCAAGAGGCCTCTCTCCCTGTAGCTCCATCCACCTTTAACTCCACCCTCTGAGATCCCATCACCACCTCACTGCTCCCCACACTGGCTCTTAGGCTTGAGTGGATATACCATGGTCTTGTCTGTGGAGAAGAGCAGGTGGCTAGTGCGAACCAGGACTAGCAGGCAGGCGCCCAGCAGGGTGCCAGAGTACAAGCAGAGGGACAGGACCAGCAGCATGAAGAGGCGGAAGTTTCGATGACCGATGCAGTTATTGACCCACTTGCAATGGTGGTCGAAGTCCTGAGACAGGGAGGGGGCAGGACCTGCCCTTTGGTCCAGCTTCCATCACCCCCACCAAATCCTAAACCTTGCCCAATGATGCACTTTAGGTCACAATCTTTGCCCCACACTGACCCCTACCCCCAGGAAGACCAAGTGACCGAAGTCCTTAATTTTCACCATTAGAACGCAAAGAGGGCTCTGTGTCTCCCAAGATCACCAGAGGCTTCCAGAGACACAACCCTCCTGGTGTTCTGTGAGGCATGTCCTGGTGTGACTTTCCATAATATGTACAAGATCTCTGGACTTTTACTTCCTCAGTTATGGGATGAGGATGAAAATAACAGCCTTGGCCAACCAGTCTCCCTCCCTTGATTGGAAACACATGTCTGTGCACACAGGTATAACCCAGAAGACCCCCCCCCAACGTGGATATGTAGAGGGAGGCAAATAAAGTCCCCCAGACCAAGCCTGCAGCCAACCAAAGGGTTTGGGTGTCTAGTGGCAGCAGATCTGGAGACAACCCAGGGACTGCCTTGCCTCCTTAGTTTGCTCAGGCCCAGCACAAAAGTGAATGCCTGGAGCATTGTCAGCAGCACTGCAGGCCAAGACCCCCAACGGACAGGCACAGAGGCTGTGTATCCCATGTGAGGTGTCAAAAACAAGTGGGAGTGCTGCCACCCTTGGCCTTTAGCAGTCCTGGAGAAGTCTCACACCTACCCTTGGCCCACATATGATGTGAAGCTCTTGGTCCTGGCCAGGTCTGGGTTCGCAAATCAGCAAGGGGACAAGAGGCACTCACCTCCACACAGATGTTGCACCAGGGACAGTGGTAGGTCCGGGGTGGGCGGTGGAAGCAGCACTTGGGGCACCACTGCAGGCAGAAGGCCCTGTGGTTCACACGCACCACAGGTACCATCATGGGGTCCTCCTCCATGGAGCCTGACACAGCAGAGGACAGGGCAGTGGCAGAAGTTCCTGCCCTCTCTCTGCTGCTCGAAGCAGCCCCACAGCATCACCAAGCATAGGAAGGGTGGAGAGGGGGTGGTCTCAGAGGCTGGCAGTCAATGGGAGGGAGGGGCCTCCAGCCAGCTTTCTATATAGAACTCTCCCTTCCAAACAGTGGTTATCGCCTGAAGTTGTGTGTACAATGGGAAGAGGGAGGTCTGGACAGGCCTGCCGGCTTCTCTCCCCACCTGTGCAGCTAACCCTTCCAAGGCAATTAGAAAACCTCGTTCTGTTTCTTCATGTCTTGGAAGCTTAAGGAATGAAGTGTGAGGGCCAGAGCAATGATGACATGGGGTGCAGGGGTCCCGAGACTGGGAGTGGGGGCACCAGCTCTTGGAGTGCCACCGCCTTCTCCCAGGGGACTGAGACCTCACCTCTATGTAAGATTCCGGGGTCTGAGAAGTTGAGGGAAACGAGACTGACGAAGGTAAGGATGAACAGTAGGCTTGTGACAATGGGAAAGGCCCACTCCCCTTTCTGAGCCAGCCACCGACACCTGAGACCAGAGACATACTCAGTCCTGACCTGGGGCAGCCCAGAGCTCCTCCCCAGAACCTGTCCACCTGGGTCAGGACTCATAGGCTATAAAACCAGCTGTAAATGAGGGTGACGTTTGATGGGGACTGTATGGGTCTGTCCCTAGCCTGGATGTTTACAGCTCCCCAAGCATAGCAGTTCTCCAGAGTGCTGTGCCTGCACATTCAGTCCCTCTAACTATGCGTTTCCCTGACCTCACACACTCCCACCTGCATTCCCTAGTTTCTGGACTATTGTTATGTTTCCTCTCCCATCTCTGTAGGAGAAACTTGAAAGATGGTGTTGAGAGACTCACGGGAATGCGAAGAAAAGTCCACTGAAAATGATCAACAACATCACATTGAAGGCAGCAAACAGGCTCTGGAGGAACCATGAAGGCAGGCCCACAGGCCGCTGCTGTGGTTCCTTTACAAGTGGCATGGTGTCCTTTAAGAAAGGCATGACAGTGCTGAGATGGCTCAGCTGGTAAAGGGTGTACTGTGCAAGCACTACGACCTGAGAGCCCCCTCCTCTGCCCTCCTACCCCTGCTCCCACAGAAAGGCAGGGAGGGTATCGTGGTGCACATCTGCATGACAGAGACAAGAGGACCCCTGGGGTTCACCAGCCAGCCATGTGGGCAGAATCAGCAACCTCCAGGTTCAGTTGAGAGATCCTGTCTCAAAAAATAATATAAGGGGGCTGGAGAGATGGCTCAGAGGTTAAGAGCACTGACTGCTCTTGCAGAGGATCTGGATTCTATTCCCAGTAGCCACATGGCGGCTAACAACCATCCATAGCTCCAGTTCCAGGGGATCCAACACCTTCTTCTGACCTCCTTGAGCATTGGACAACACAGGTGCACTTATATACATGCAGGCAATGAACCCATATACATAGAATAAAAATAATAAATAAAATATAAAACATTATTATTAAAAAATATATAAGCAGGGTGTACTGACACACACTTTTAGTCCCAGCACTCAGGAGGCAGAGGCAGGCTGATCAAGGACAGCCTGGTCTTCATAGCAAGTTCCAAGCCAGCTAGGGCTACAGGGAGACCCTGTCTCAAAAAAAAAATCAAGAATAATAGTAATAGGATAAGAGTTACTTAGGAAGACATCTGAGGTTGACCTTTGGTGCACACACACACATAGACACACACACAGACACACATGTACAGCTGGGTCTCTGTACTCACAGGGGAGAAATCAGAGCCACCAGCTGCTGTCTCCTCTGTTGGCTCCCAGAAGAGCCACAGCCCAGGATGAAACTAAGGAAGTTTCAGTGTGACATCACAGAGGCAGTGGAAAGGAGGTAGGGGTAGGAGTGTGGGGGTGGGGCTTGGAAGGCGCCTCTTCTGGTTTCCTCCCTCCCCCAGCCCTGCCAGGAGCTGACTTGGAGAGTGCTGTGGGTTGTTTTTAGTAGTTCACTGTGCTGCATGGTGGTGGTAGCAGTGGTAGCAATTTAGAGTAAGGTGACTAGGGACACTTCCTTTCTTTTTTTAAATTATTTATTTTTTAAAAAATAAGGCACCCAGCCTGTGCCTTTGTTTCGTGACTGCCCAGCCCTAAACTGCCTCCCCCAAGCTGCACCTTGAAAATGTACCTGGGCTTTCTGTTAGGAGACATGGTTGAAGTTTCCCTTCTGTTTTTCTCTGACTTGTGCTCTGCAGCCGCTGCTTTCTGTGCACAGAACTGAAGCTTGCTATGTGCACTGGTCTTCTCTGTGTCACAGGATTTTCCCACCATTACTATATATATATATATATA